GCAGAGGATGGAACAGGCGGGGACAGAAAGAAGGGCCCTTTCCTTACCTGCAGCAGCTTCCCTTCAGCGGGGGTGACCTCTGCAACCCTGGCGAAGACGCCTTCCAGCGTGAGGGGTTCCAGTTTGAGGGGGGTCACCCGAATGAGCGCCTTCTGAGCCAGGGACCGCTCGGCTTCCACGGCGGCGGCCAGTGCCAGTCCCGAGTAGCCCAGCCGCATGTGCAGCGCAGCCACGAGCAGCCACGGCCAGAGGACTGCCAGGTGCAGCCGGGGGCCAGCACTCATGCTCCCAGCTGCAGCAGTGCGCTCCAGCCACACATACTGCTCAGGAATGTGTCCTCCCCCCACCAGCAGGTTCCAACAGCAGGCGAAATTGTTGGGGATTAAAACCCTCGGTGCAACTATAAGTCAACGGGGCGAAGAAGCAGCGAGTCCACCTGGCGTCCCGTGCTCCAGGTCCTCCCCACTTGCCCTTTGCTATTAAGGTTTCTCCATGCCACGTGTGTGAAGGCCTTGGGCTTCACCAGATTGCAGGCAGCCTGGATCAGGTCCTCCTCTTCCTCTTCCTCCAGATAAATCCAGACATTGCAAGCAAAACCAAATGGGTACAGACAGTGTATAGTGTGCAATGCTCTTGGGTCCTTCTTGGAAGCGTGTTGAAGCAGGCTGGAGAGAGGCAGATCCCCATGGAAGACACTCTCTGCTTCTCAATCCGTTTAGGATCTTCTGTCCTCGGACTGCAAACAGGGCCAGTTCCTTGGTATCAGATGGCTTTAGCTGCCCTTGTTGACTTCCGACTAATGAAGTGTTTTTTCCTGATATTCCTTGCTGATAAAGTTACTTATTTTCAGCTCTCTCTTCTACATTAAAGGAAAATGATGACTGTGAAAGGGCATCCATTTAGGAACGAGAACAGCAAGTCATTTTTTTCATGTTCAGTTAGGTAACTGACAACACCTCCTCTTCTTTGACTGATCTCTGCTTGCCTCTAAAACTGACACCTGGTCGTGGGTATGAAAATAGATTCTCTAAGTTGGAATTTTCCATTGATTTGGCATTTTTAATACAGAGAGTATAGTCGGCAGGTCCCAAAATTCATGGAAGAAAAAAGACATTTCTTGGATGTTTTTCAGATCTCGGAAGTCAGAAAAGGCCCCAAACAGGAAAAACAACTTGAGAAAGACACCTGTGCATGTTTTATTCCATTCCTGTGCAAACCTCGGAATTAATATATCCGCTTTTGGATGTGTGCTGCTGAAAGCACAAACAAAAGCATTCCAAACATTTAGAAGAAATAGGCTCTGCAAGAAGTCTTAACTGTAGAAAAGTCACAGGCATTTAGCAGGAATAGCATTTGTTCAGTCAAGGAAAGAAGGGTGGAAAAAAGTAATTTTAAAATAGCATGCAAACCTGATGTGCAGTCTGCCTCCAAGAATAAAGTAACAGCTGGAAGCTTTATTACAAATCCTGGACAAAAAGCATTTCAGTAGTTGCTCAAAATGTATGCTGCGTCTTACCTACAGGGGGAAAGGGGAAAGTTGTGGGGAGACTCACAGAAACTCTCCACACAGGTAAATGTGAAATTCCAGTCTGAATCAGAAGGAAAAATTGAGTCCAGGCTGAAGGCTCCAGAGCCAGGCGTGGCTGAAATACAGCTTCCAAAAGTAACCTAAAAAAGCTTGCTATGAATCCAGGCGCGTTCCCTAAAACTCCTTTTGAGTCTGAGCGGAACAGTTTCCCCTTTTTTCACCAGACACAAGCAAGTCCAAGCAGTGGCTTGAAACAGCAGATATCCAACAGCAACCCATGGGGGGCCGCATGAAGAGAGAGCGCAATCGTTCTTCAAAGGAGCAGCGGGGCCCGTGAGGTGGAGTGGGCTCTGCACGTTCTGCAGAGGCCGCGGGAGAGCTCTCTTTCCAGAAAGGCACTTACTGGGTCAACTCCTGGGAAGCAAAAAAACCCCCTGGTTCAGCAGCTTGTGCTCTCTGCCTCCCTCCCCTGGGACTGCAAGCATTTTCTACCTGCTGACACAAAGTGCGGGTGGAGCAGCCAAAGGCACCAACCCCACCCCCGACTCCGGTTCTCAGGGCTCCTGGACTCCCTCTCCTGATCCGCCACTAAACTGCATCCAGTCTTTGCAAGCTCCCGTCCTCGCCACGATCTATCAAATGCGATCCAGGGTCACTGCCACTTCCCAGCAACTGCGCACAACAGAGCGAAGAGGGAAACGACAAGAGGGATTCCAGTCGAAGGAAACTATGAGGACACATCTTCATTTGCAAATGTGGACTTCACAGTTGCATTTTAAATTCAGGCTTTCCTAGCCAGGTGCCCTCCAGATGTGCTGAACTACAACTCCCAGCATCCCTCAGTCAGCCACCATGAATGATTCCTAGCTGGACAGATGGGGTATCCATATTTTTTCTTCAACTCTTGCCTTATTATTTGGTATGTTTTTCTCTCCAGTTGCCACTTGCAAGGAAGATTTCAGGTCACACTGATGTCAGAGACCTGGAATTTAACAATTATCTTTTGCTGACAGCACTAGGTGGTGAGTAATGCCATAGAGTAGATGGGCAACTTCCAAGCAAACCTGCCTGCTGAAGTTACAATTTAAGATGTGGTGTAACTACATCAGTGACAGCATTCAGATTATTAGAGAGTATTCTGTAACATACAGTACTCTGTGGCAAAATCCACATTTGCAATACATTTGATTAAGGTGTAGAGAAACATAGAGAGTGAGTCAGAAGGGGCCTCCTGGGCCATCTAGTCTGACCCCTGGCTCCAGCCGGCTCCGCTCACAACATGCCCACCATGTGCACATCCAGCCTATCCTTGAACACCCGCACCGATGGGGCCTCAGCCACCTCCCGTGGAAGCCCATTCCACACCCTCGGGGTCCCGACTGTCAGGAAGTGCTTCCTGAAATCTAAATTGAACCTTGGTTCCCTGAGCTTTGCTCCATTGAAGCGCGTCCTGCCTTCCTCTGCAGGGGAGAACAGGTCTCTCCCCACCTCCGTGTGACACCCCCTCACATACCTGTATGTCGCCAACATATCCCCTCTGATTTTTAAAAGGTAAAATCACTTTACCTTCAATAAAAGTACGAAACTTCTTAAAAGCTTGCCAGGGTCCAAACATTCAGCCAACTTCATCTCTTGTACAATGTCAGCAAGTTATTCCTGGGTAGGGTACATTGTAATCCACTACTCAAACCAAACTCTTGCCTAAGGTATTTCTATGAACAAACTAGCAAAACACTGGGCTTATTTAGAGCAGTCATTTTATTGTTTATCAGTCAAATACATTTGGGCTAAAACAAAAGGCTGGAGGGTTACCCCTGAGAATTTTATTAATTTCATGCAATTCTGTATGGATTTCTTTGAACAGTGTGAATGTCCTTTCTTTTTTGCCATCTTACAAATGCTCAAGAGCCAGTGAAGTCAAATTATCATGCCTATAGCAATGGCAGGAGATCCAGCTCCTTGGCCTCTTTTAGAAATGAACTTATAAACAGGAGGAAAGATAATAAAAACAACCATCTCCTAACAGAGCTTTAAAGCTACAGGCCTGTACAAAAGCTGTTACTGTCTTGATTGTTGAAAAAGGATTGCTACAGACATTTTGCTATTGTCCTGTGGAGTCACACGAAAGGGTATGCTCCCTTTCCAACTTTATTGTGGATCCACATTAGGCCCTGAGTCAAAGCCTGCTGCTAACCTATCTGGGATCACAACTCTTGCCACTTTATTTCAGCCCCAGAGATAGTCTCTGGGAATGTTGGCATTTTCTCCCTGCTTGAGCATTTGTTTTTAAGATAATACTGCATTTACAGAAGGACAAACAGGGCCTCACTAAACTTATGGGGAACAATCTCAAAGTATTCACAATCTTTGGTACCCTAGCCAAAGGCAACTCTGAAGGAAATGATACAACTTGACTGTCCTGAGATCTCTGTTTGCATGAGGCTCCAGAAGATTTTGGCTCATCCTGCCATTCACAGGTCTTCTGGGAGATAACAAGCATTAACAGAGGTTTAAGTTGCAGAAACAGCAGAATAATGCACCCATCTCTTGCCTCTGCTTTTTCAAGTATCCTCCTTTGCATTTTTCAGGTGTATAAATAGGACTCTAAAAATCTAAATGCTTGGAACACATTCCCACCGTCCTACATCATTTGCATGTATTCTAGTGCAATATATCCTTAAAACACAAATAAATATGAGTACAAAGACATTTCTTTAAAATCCATTGGCAATAAATACAAGTAATGTTAAACAAGTTAAAATCTCTTGTGAAGGTGTATTTAAATTATGCAATATAGTAAAACAACAGATGTCTTAACATTTGTTATAAAGTGCCTCTAGAATGAGGAAATTATTAAAACACAAGAATGCTCTATTAAACAGAAAATATCTAGCAGCTGTTCTCATAGGTGGGCCAATACTTGCCCTTGAAAAGCAACAAATGCAAGAAAGAAGAAAACTTCCTGTGTGATCACCTAGAAAATGAGATCATCTTTCCCAGGGTATCTTTCCTAGAATGGATGACCCATTTGGCCCTGGGATCTTGTAACCTCAAATGCCTTCATGTCTGTCTGTTATGGTTCCTGAATGGATTGTAAGCAGTCCCAGTGGGGACCAGACATTGCTGGCAGTCATTTGGAACACAGTGTAGATACCCCAGAGCAAAACAAGACATGCTCTGCAACTGGGAAAATCCCTATGTACCAAGAGACCAGGTTTCCCATTTTCAAGTAATTTTGAGCAAATAAAGGATCACATCAGGTGAAAGTGACCAGGAAAATAATTTAAGCCTACAGAAGAGGGACAGCAGAAACAAGTGGCGGGATTATTTACACATGAAACAAAAATGCGCGGAGAAGGAGCGGTCCGGTTAATAGCAAGGGGGAAATCCCCCGCGTCCTCCTGGAGTGGAATGCGCTGCTCTGGCCCAGCCGGCCACTGCTCAGCCTTTGCACATGCTTTGCACCAAGCTCTCACTCCCTTAGTTCGCCTTCTTTTGGAAAATGCTCCTGCTTGCAAGCCACATCCACTAGCAGATGTAAATCTATGAAGAATGGAAAGGGCAATTCAGTATCCACTTGCAGGGCCATTAATATGCAAACTATGTCTGAAGAGATGGAAAGAAGTGCTCAGACTTTGCCAGTCACTTTCCCCCTGTAACTCCCTTCCCCACATTGGCCTTTACTTTAGTGTGGTTCTACACCCATGCAGGCAAGTTAAAAATGTGGTTCCAGAGTACTGGATACATAGATGCTCCTTCTCAAAATGTTCAGATGGCACCTCTCCTTGTCAAATGGTACAGAGTGCTCTTAACATGACCCTTCTTGTTCCATGATAAGAAACAACAGTCTGTTCTATGGTTTCCACACTTCACCATGGTTTCTCTGCTCATCTTGAACCAGTCATCATGGTTTCCACAGCCTGATATGCAATTACCCCAGAGTGGCAGCTGCTACCACTAGGATGAAATGTGACTTGGGCTATTGAAAAATGAATGCCACAGCCTTCTCCTGTAGCCTGTACATGTAGTCTAGCTGTTTGGACACTGATGTCATTGTGGACAGAGCCTTCTAAGACTGCAGGATGGTCTGCAGTTGAGAAGATGAGAATAGCCACCAGCATTGATTCGTCAGCCTACACAGCATCAAAAACTGAGTCCAACACTCTCTCCACCTGCAGCTGTGTGCTCTGTTAAAGGGCTTAGGCTACCCTCTGTATATGTTCAGAAAAACTGCCCATGTCCACTGATGGAGAAACAGGGTCTCTGGTGTTCACAGCCACACCTGGAGAGGAAAACAACGGCACACTGGAGTGCGTTGTCTCTGTGTCGGACTCACAGTCCTCCCTATCCAATGGCAATGGAGGACCGGAGAGCACAGGCACAGGAGAGGTGGACGGGAGAGGGGGCACAGTGATGGAGCCAAGTAGCTCTGGGGGTACCTGAAATTGCACAGGCAAAAAAACTGGCCATTGGCACTTCAGTGGCAGAGTCAGAGGACTTTGGAAAGCGAGCGGCTCAAATATTGTTCCTATTCCACATAGAATTCAGGAAGGCAAACAGCCCAGTATTGAGGGTTGTAGGTAGGGCCTTGGTGGTGGTACCCCCACAAGTCACAGAACCCTTGGTAGGCAGGTGGGATGGAGTAGGCAGATCCTCCAAGAAGCCAGAGCAGTTTCTTCAACAGTTGGTTCCAACAGATTCAGTGAGGAGATGTGCCAGTGATAAAATATCTGGCTGTCTTAGAGCTGGAATCTCGGGGTGGGGGGTAGACAGGTGACATGTCTCAAATCTCCCCCTCTGACACTAAGGCTGAGATGAATTCAAGCCTTTGTACAAGCTTTGAGCCTTGGAAATACAAGAGGAACTTAGGAGCCCCCTTAAAAACATCTGGGTCAATTTAAAGAGAGCCAAAAAGAGGAAAAACATAGTTATTGCCATCTATAACCAACCACCCAGTCAAAAAGATGGCAAGGGCACAGCCTTCAAAAAGCAACTTGCCAGCATTTCCAAGAATGATGTAGTCATCATGGGAGGCTTCAATTTCCCTGATATTTGCTGGGAGCCAATTTCTGCCAAGCGTGGCCCCTCCAAGAGATTCCTGACGTGTTGCCTACAACTTCCTCCAGCAGAAGGTAGGTACTAACTAACAGGGATGACCTAGTGGACAAAGTAGCAGCTATGGGAACCCTGGGGGGAAAGTGACCGTGCAATACTTGAATTCTCAATTATAAAGAAACAAAGGTTAATGGCAGCCAAACACATATCCTGGACTTCAAGAAAGTTGACTTGAACAAACTCAGAACAATGATAAATGAGGTGCCATGGCAACTCGCTGTTAAGGGAAAAGGAGATGAAGAGGGATGCAAAACCTTGAAAAAGAAGATTCTCCTAGTACAACTACGAACAATTCTAACAAGAAAAAAGTGTGGAGCATAAAAGAGAAAGCCCATATGGCTCCACAAAAAAATAAGTGGCAACCTGAAAAACAAGAACATGTGGAGGAGGGTTGAAGCAGCGCTAGGTCACAATGAAAGAATATAAATCAATAGCAAGGAATTGCAGGGACGATATCAGGAAGGCTAAAGCAGGAAATGAGCTGAGAATAGCAAGAGATGCTAAGAACAGTAAGGAAGCCTTCTTTAGTTACATCCAAAACAAAAGACATGTGAAAGAGATGGGTGTCCAGCTACTTAAAGTAGATGGCAGAGTGATAACAGATAACAAGGAAAAGACGGAGATGCCCAATTTCTACTTCATCTCAGTCTTCTCCTACAAGAAAATCTACAACAAAGAGGAAATACAAGCTGAAAGTGAGAGATGGCAGCCCAAGATTGACAGACAAATGGTCGAGGAATACCTTGGTGGAATAAACATGTTTAAATCTCCAGGGCCGGATGAACTCCATCCCAGAGTCCTAAAAGAGCTAAAGGAGGAACTCGCAGAACCGCTGGCTATCATCTTCGA